CCATGGCGCGCCGTCGCCTCCCCACAATAGGCGGCGTCCTCCGCGCCCTCTTCCTCCGAACAATAACAAACACTCGGCCCCGGCTCTGCCTCGAGCCTAGCGGCGCCGCAACGCTTTCGCCTCCCAAAGCGCTTTCTCCGCAGTGACGCATCCAATCTCCCTCCGCAATGCGCTTTCCCCGCACAAAGCAAAGCCCGTCGCCTCCTCGGGGTGCAGCCCGCGCCGCCTCCGGCCCCCAACCTCGCCCCTCCCGAGCCGGTCTCCCTCTCCAGCGCCGTTAGATGGCTTTCCCCCGGGGGCACACACTCACCCTCCTGAAATTTAGGCTTCGGATCCTGCTTCGGCGCCATTTATAAGTGATTCGCCGCCTCCTCCTTCTCCCACCACCCCCGACTACCGCCCCCTACTCTCTACTCCACCCAACTCCGCGTCAGATGCGCCGTCAGGCACCGCCAGCTCTCCATCCTGGGCAAAGCACGCGCCCCGCGCCGCGCCGCCCCGGGACACGCTGGGAATTGTAGTTCCGAGTCGGCGTCGCCAGGCCGTGTGGGGGAGGCGCGGGAGACCCCTTCCCCCGTGCCCAGTTCTCATGCCCAAGTCCCGGTGCCCCTTGCTCCCCGGCCGCCGGGCTTGTGAGAGCCCGGGGTTGCCAGTGAAAGCCCGGGTTTGACTTTATGTGTTTATTAGGACGGGGATGGGGGCGGTGAAAGACTGGGAATGGCAAAGTGGAGGAGTTGGATGCGCACAATCAGGCCGCAAAGATGGAGGAGTTGGAGTAGCCTGCGAGAATGGGCTGCCTCCGAAGCCCGCGTCCCACAGCATCTCAAGGGGTCTCTGCAGAGGAAATCTGAAGGGCCGACGATCTGCCCGCGCCAGGGTGGGAACCGGGGTCTTTGTTCAGCAAACAGGGGCACTGCGGCTCCCTTAGGCGGGACTGAGATGCAGAGGCTGAGGCCGGAATCGCAGGACCTCCCCTAGCTTTCCAGAGGAAGCTGGTGTTCTGTCGGTCCGAGGAGGCAGGCAAGACCGGGTTCTGTACCTGCCCTATGGGTGCCGCCCTTGGTCTTAGGAGTTCTTGTTTAATGTACGCACACAGTCTTAACGAATGTCATCATGTTCCCCTGTTCAAAAACTCCTTAAAGTTTGCTCAGTTAATATAGCACCTTGCCGAAACTTTGCAAAATGATTGCAAACCTTTTCCATCGGTTTATTGGGAAAACTACACGTACAGGCCTGTGCTGTGCCTATCAGTGAATAAATGCTCGATAAACGTTAACTGGAATAGAAATCTTCACGCTCTTTGCCTGGTGTTCCAACCCATCCACACAGTTCCCGGCCTACCTTACAGGCCCTACACAACCCTCGTTGAACGTGCTTTATACCCCAGATGGCTCTCCATTGATCTGACTCTAATTTCTCCTTCAATCTTTCTTTTAGCACAACCCCTTCTTTGACCGCAAAACCCCACAATCTGTATTGCCATTGAATAGACACCACTTTGTCTCCACTGCTGTGAAAGTATTGAAGAAAGGGACAAGGGGAGTTTTGGTGATCCCATGCACACCAAAACTGCCCAGCCACAGTGGGCCACGTGAGCTCTGCGTCCTTTAACCAGTAGGCTGTGGAGCAGGCGTTATAATCCCAGATCTTTTATTTTATGCATCTAAAACATTCTAAGAAAAGAACTCATTGGCTTTATCAGACTGCCACTGGGGCTGGAGGGGAAACCTTGGCACAAGCACAATCCACCCCCACACATACCCTTTGTCAGTGCTGTTACTATTTGTCAGTGACATTTGCTTTCTGAAAAGCCTGAGCCTTTTCAAATACCTGGAGTTGTCTCATTGTTTACGTATGGTCTTAGTTTGCTTCTTTTCCCCTGTACTTTGTACACATGTAAAGTTAGGTCTAAAAGACTTGATTAGACCAAAGTTGCAAGTTGCGTGATAATGCTCTTCATTGCATCAGAGGCACACAGTGTCTGGCTGTGCTGTTATTAGTGATGCTAATTAGGATTACTGGGCTAAGGCAGTTCAAGCAATTTTGCTTTGGTAGTAAAATGGTATTAAGTTTATTTAATTTTATGGGAGATTTTAAGCATATATAAAAGTAGAGGAGGTAGTAGAATGAACCCTGGTGTATTAGTCACTCAGCTTCTGCAGTAATTAACATGTGCCAATCGTGTTTCATGATAGCCCTGCTCCTTCTTCCCCCACAAACAGTATGTGCACACAAATCCCAGGTAGCAGGCCAGTGGCATGGGAGGGTGGTTGAGGTGACTGGATTCCTCATGGCTGACTCCACGGTTTGAATCCTGGACCTGGTAGCTTGAAAATCACACTGCGCGTGCGTGCCTAAAATCCCAGGAGGAGAATGGAGTAGAAGGGATCGTGGTGACCATCTCCCCCGGAGGGGTACTTTCTCAACTTCTCTCTCTCTCTGTCTCTCTTTCTCTGGCAAGTACATGTGCACCATAGCAAATTTAAAAATAATAAGTACCCAAATCCCAGATATCATGTCTATTTTACTCATACCCAATTTAGTACATATTTCTAAAAAGAATCCCTGCTTTTTAAAAACACAATACCATTATTACACTTACATTATTACACTTCAAGTATTCAGTTAGTATTCAGATTCCCTGGTTATCTATACCTGTTCTTTTGTGATGGGTTTAAATCAGAGCCCAAAGGAGGTCCACACATTCCATTGGATCAGGATGTCTGTCTCTCTCTTTTTTTTCTTTTTTTCACTGTAGGGCACGTGGGCTCGCCAGACAGAGAGAGACATAGAGACGGAAAGTGAGAAATCACCCCCCAGGGGGGATGGTCACGCTGCAATTCCTTCTCCTCCATTCTCCTCTCGGGATCTTGGGCAGGCACGCATATGCTCCTGGCATGAGTTTTAAGCCACCGGGTCTGGGACGTGAACCGCGTTCGACTACGTGGGAGTCCAGAGACATAGCCATTACGCTAACTGCTGGTTCCCTCTCTCTCTTTTTTTAAAGAATTACTTATTTGGGGCCAGCAGTTAGCGTAATGGTTATGTCGCTGGACTTCCATGTAGCTGACCATGGTTCGTGTCCCGGACCCGGTGGCTTAAAACTCACACCGGGCACGTGTGCGTGCGTGCCCAAGATCCCAAGGGGAGAATGGAGGAGAAGGGATTGCGGTGTGGCCATCCCCCCTGGGGGGTGATTTCTCACTTTCCGTCTCTATGTCTCTCTCTGTCTGTCTGGTGAGCACACATGCCCTATAGCAAAAACCTCTCCAAAAAAAGAAGAGAATTACTTATTTAATTTTATTTATTTATTCATTTATTTTAATTTGATCAGTGACAGAGAGAAAGTAAGACAGCAAATTACCAGGTCCAAGACTCGAACCGTGGTCAACCATGTGGGAGTATCCAGCTCCTTAATCACCATGCCACCTGTTGGTCCCGAGATCTTATTTCTGATGCTGAAATTTTCTGTTTTTCTTCCCAGGTCTGATATTTTGAATTGCTGATAGATAATAGGACCTAGTAATTGTAGAGAATGTTGGAAAATTGCTGAAGATGACTGAAAACATTTAAGACAAGACCTTGCAGTCGTCAGCATAAAAGCAAAGTCCTGCTCAAAGTAAGTGAGTTCTTTTAGGAAAACATAGGAAAGAAAAGAGAAATTGTTTTGAGAGGTGTGTGTTTTGAAACTCTAAGATGGCTGAAGGAAAAATTGTCAGTGTGAATCACTGCGTTTTTTAAACAAGGATAAAAAATTCCTAACGGTCTGTTGACAATAGCTAGCTTATTAATTCATCACAAAAACAATTTTGCAGTGGCTTAAAAATATAACAGAGCTGTCTCGAAACTAATCTGGAATATCACATGACATTGAATAAAAAAACATTTCAAATGTTTTGACAGAAAACTCTCCAACAATACTTTTGAAATCTACAGTTTCATTAATAAATTAATTTTCTTGTCTTCTCACTCCCTCTCCTTTAACTTTTGGCTGCCTTTCAAACGGACCACTCAGAAGCAACTAGTGCTCTATACTACATAACCTTTATCTGTGTACTTACAAGATGAAATTTTTTGTTTTCATTAAGTAGTTGAGGTTTAATAGTGTTTTGAGTACTGAGCTGTTTAAAAACAAGAGGCCACCTATTGAGGTCAGGTACGACCGCTAGTAAACATTGCAACTGATTGAATCGTTGCTGGTGAACGGAGGTGAAATATCAACAGATCACAGCATAGCTAACTTCAAGGACCAAAAACACCTCAGACCGCCCAACGTGGGGCTCGAACCCACGACCCTGGGATTAAGAGTCCCATGCTCTACCGACTGAGCTAGCCGGGCAGCCATGAGAAAAGTGTCTTTCTAAGTCCTTTTGAAGGAATAATATGATTTATAAACTTTTGCTCTATTAGTTATATCTCACATTTAGCGATCTTTCTCATAATCTTTTTTTAGTAAAGCTTTTTGTTTTCTTTTATTTTTAACGACTCTCCAAGTTGTTTTTCGTTCCTCGTTCCGAGCGCCGCAACTTCTGCTGCTTAATCCAAATGTACCGGCGGCCCTCTAGCGGTCAGCATCATCCCTCTTCCCGTAGAGGAAAGGCAGGCCACGGAGGGCGGCGACGGCCTCCCGCCTGGAGCAAAGAAGTAAGGGTGGGGGTGCCTGG